ATTTCCCCAAATTTGTATAGACTTAGAGAGGTTTTATTTCCAAATAGTTGAATTTTTAAAATATTCAATTTCTATAACACTGACTGTCAGTGTTTTGAAGTATGAAGTCATTAAGTCTTTTATCTCAAAAAAAAAAAAATCCTGATCTTTTTACAAAACAGCAAAATTGTTTCCCAGATTTGTACAGGAGACTTAAAAGGTTTTGTTTCCAAAACCAGTCTCTGGCTTTTCTGGCTCTTTTCAACTCTGGTTTGACCATTATTATTATTATTATTATTTTACCATTATTTTGGAATTCCTTTCCAGAGCTGAAACATCACAGATGGACCATCTGCATTTCTAGATAAAGGTTTTGGAATTTATCTACCATATTGCTGTCCTTGATTGTACCAAATAATGGGGAGACCAAACTTGGAATAATTTTCTGGCTTTATGTCAGTTTCTCTAAAACAGTCAGTTTTAGAGAATGTAATTAACTAGATTGTTGTTGTCACTGTTGTTTTTGTATTTTATTTTTGTCTTTTTGAGACAGTGTCTTGCCATGCAGTTCAGGCTGGCCTTGAGTTCACTTTGTAACAGGCTGGTCTCAAACTCTCAGTAATCCTCCTGTCTCGGCCTCCCGAGTGCTGAGATTACATAGGTATGTGCCAGCATGCCTAACCTTCATTTATCTTCTAAAAAATAAATATATTCCTTAGTTAAAATAACTAGATATGCAAATAAAATACTTTTTCAAAAGAAGTGTCTAAAAATCTTGACTAAAATTTTAAGGGGCATTAGAGTAAATTGGATTTGAAATTCTTAGTGTCTACTTAGGTATTTTGGCATTTCTTATGCAGCACACTGAAAGGAGACAGGCCCACAAGCTGAACTTCCAAGATGGCCACAGAGAAGTGGTATTTGAAAAGGAATGAATTGCATGTGAAGCCATTTCTTTATTAGCAACTTATTTTTGCTTTATGAAATTTACAGAACTAACAGGAAATCCACATGTAAGACTTAGCTATTTTAGACTTTTGGGCAGCTGTAAGCTAATGGGGATGCGGAACCGTCTAAGCATCCTCACAGGAATACACCTCCAAACAAGGCTTCGGGTATAGATGAGGAGGCTTTGGACTGGGGCTCTATCTCAGTGGCAGGGCGTTTGCCTTGCAACACCAGGACCCTGGGCTCAACACCAGAGCCACCAAACAAACACAAACACGAAAACAGCGGTGCATCGTTTGTACCCAAGTAGAACAACTACAGATGATAAAAGAACGAAACAAGATTAAACTTCAGTCAGCACTGAACAGACGACTTTGCTCTTAGTCACGCCCAGCTGCTTTTGCATCTGCAACCTGCTGGATTTCAGTGTCACGCTGCCGTGGTCCCAGGGAAGGTGACCCTAACACGCAGACTGACCCCAGGAGGAACCAGTGCTTTGTCCTCCGCGGGGAAAGTCAGTCCTAATGGCTCGCATGGGTATCCCCGGGGCCACTCCGAGCCGGCACCATCGCCTGGCCGCAGTGGTCTGTGCCAAGCCCGAGCTGTAGTGAGAAGAGATGCCCTGGGGCAGACAAAGGGCAGGGCTTTCGCACGAGCCTCCTCCATCCCACTCGCTCTTCAGCTTTGCGTGGGCTCAGAGCGGCGTGGAGCAGGGCCTGGGACTGATCTCGAACCCCCTGGAACGAGGGCAAATCCTAAGCCAAGTTCTTTTACTTGCAAAATAATGCACTCTGTTTGGTAACCGCTGAGTGATGCAGCGTGGTCAGCGCAAGGACAGGGACGCTGGAGACCATTTTCCACGGCTCTGAGCACTTCCCAGAGGAGGGGCGAGCATGAGGGGTCTCCCAGAAGTGCGTCTGTAGGGGGTCATGCACCTCGGACCTCTTCACACTGCGAGGGCCTTCGCATGCCCCAACACCGAGGCCATGGCGTCAGTCAGGGCTCTGCCCACTGGGGTCTGCCCTGGTGCCACACTGGTTCCCCAGTAGTTCTTCCTCTCATGGATAGATAAGGCTCTCGCCAATACTGCATCCACCTGCTTTTCTTCCCCGGAACTCTCACTGGTGTCTAGGGCCCAGCTGACACGGTCTGAGCGCTCTGCAGGTCGTGGTAGTTCTGTTAGTCACTCGGTAGCACGCACATGTTCTTTAGTTCATTTCACCCCCGTGGTTACAAAGTGTCCAACAAGCTTGTCCGGACAATTTAGGGACATGAATATAGGTGCCAAATTCTCCCAAAGGAAGTAAATTTCACTTGGTCTGAAAGGCAGACGCTGGTTACAGTTACCCCAACACGTGGAAGGCGCGGGGGGGGGGGGGGGAGGGAGGGCTTTCGAAGACACCGCAAGGGGGCGCAGTAGCACGGAAAAGTCTCTGGTTTTTCTGGCTCTTTTCAACTCTGGTTCGGCCATTATTATTATTATTATTATTATTATTTTACCGTTATTTTGGAATTCCTTTCCAGAGCTGAAACATCACAGACGGACCATCTGCATTTCTAGATAAAGGGTTTGGAATATATCGACCATATTGCTGTCCTTGATTGTACCAAATAATGGGGAGACCAAACTTGGAGTAATTTTCTGGCTTTATGTCATTGTGACATTCAATTTAGAGTCTTTTTTTCTTCCTCTATGCTACTCACTAAAGAAAATATCTGGCGAAATTATTTTGTTTCAGAATTTTTGTTATTTACAGCCCCTGCTTGTGTTTTTTATTTTAGTAAATAAAACACTCAAAATACAAACAGAGTGACACTATTCTGTACTGATCTGAGATTGTGCAATTTCAGTTATATTCAGACATTAGTAAGTACAGTGAGCACATTAACTAGTCTAAGTCAGACCTGTGAAACGTTTTTCTGCTTTTTGGGACAGAGTCTCACTGTGCACTTCAGGCTGGCCTTGCACTCGCTGCGTACCCAGCCTGCCTTGAACGTGCAGCACCCTTCTGCCTCATGAGGCACTCACCTTCAGCCCTAACCATTTTATCTTTCAAAGACCAAAGTTTTAGAGGGCAGTACATAAAGTACAAAGAATCGCAAAAGCGCCTGAAATTTATTTCTCACTAATGTGTGAGTGGTTAACTTAATCTAATTAAATATCACCGTTGGGATTAGAAGTGTAGCTCGGTGGTAGAGAACTCGCCAGGCACGTGTGAGACCCTGGGCTCAGTCGCCAGGACCCATGAGGATAAACAGGCTTCGCAGTTGGGCATCTGTTTTCTCTCCTATTAAATGCTTTTACATGGGGAACACTGATACATGATCAATACTGATCAATACTGATATGCTTTCTCTTTTGATATTAAATACTCTTTATTAGGAGTTATTTCACTAGCAAGTCTTTGTACTGATTCATACGATGGGTAATGTCCATGACTCTTCTAAAAATCAATCTATTTTTATGTGCATTCAAATAAACACACCAACGAACCCCTCCGTATCACCTTTACTAGTCTACTCGGTTTCTTTTTAGATGTGCATTTGACTTCCACATTTCTGATGGACAGATTATTATTGATGGAAATTTCACAATACTCTATTTACAAAACGCTATTTAAAAAAGTAGAACATGGTCCTGTTGCCTTCAGAAAACCTTGATGGAAATTTATTTATTTATTTATGTCTTTTTCCTTTTTATCGGTACCAGGGATCGAACTCATGACCCCCTGCTTGCAAGGCAGGTGCTTATGCCGCTGAGCTAAATCCCCAGCCCCAAGATTTATTTTCAATTTCCCAAAGCACAGTAAAGCCTGAGTCGTTTTTCCACGTGACAATCTCATTTGCAAACCTAAAAGATGACATTTCGATACAGACGGAAACATCGCTCCAGGACAGCCCACAAGTGTTCTTCACTTAGAGGAGGGTGTGGGCTGGGCTTGCAGTTTAGGTCTGTGCAGAGGGGTGGCTTAGCACGTGCTACAGGGCCTGGGTCCATCCCAGCATGCCGATCGATTGATCCATCAGTCAGTCACATATATATGCATGTGACTGATTTTTTTTTTTTTTTGTCTTTTTCGTTTTAATTGGTACCAGGGATCGAACTCACGACCACAGGCTTGCAAGGCAGGTGCTTATGCCGCTGAGCTAAATCCCCAGCCCCTCTTTTTTTTTTTTTTGTCTTTTTCATTTTTATTGGTACCGGGGATTGAACTCACAACCGCCTGCTTACAAGGCAGGTGCTTATGCCGCTGAGCTAAATCCCCAGCCCATGTGATTGATTCTTTAGTGATGCTTCACACCGCAGTCACCCACCTTTGTTCTCGTCATTCTGTTCACACATTCTTTGTCCCTGGTAGGAGAGACCCCAAAACTGTTTGTAGCATGACTGCTTTTCCACAGAGCTAAGTGTCCCCCCCCCCCCCGGGATCTTTTGAGAGCCACCGACCAGGAGTCCTGTGGGTTAAAAAAAAATGGAGACAAAGTAGCAATGATATCGTGTGCCTACAGCGCTGAAAATCCTGGGTTCCTCTCTGGCACTGCAAAACCAACAGAAACCCCAGCAACTCTGTGTCAGTGTATCATGGGGATGCTGCTCATAATGGAAACAAGGTGGCAGCTTTGGAAGATGGTGACAGAATAAATTGCAAAGTCGTGATTTATTCAAACTCATTGCTCAGTTATTTTTTCTGGAAGGGAAGAGTGAGGCACTGGTCTCTGTCCAGTGTCATAGTGAGAGTCCCTCCCCTGAAGCCCTGCGGGTGGAGAAATGTTCACCGACCACCTGGCCGTCACCGGACACCAGGGTCCTGCTCTCCACCGGGCAGCACCTCGAGGCTCAGAGGCCCCACCTGGCGGGCTCTGAGGCACTGGACAAGTCGGGGCCCGGTGCATAAACCCAGAGCTGTTCTGGAGAACACCACGGCGTCCTCACCAAAACCGCAATTTTTATCTATTTATGTGTTTTAAAAGGAAACATTTAATGCGCCCTTCTGCATCCAATTTCCCATTTCATAATTTATAAAAAATTTCAAAATCTGATGCTTTACATAAACATACATAAAGGAATCAAATTTAGATTTCTGAAATTTTTATGATTTTTAAAATGTTTTTGTGGCTGGGACATAGCTCAGGGGCCTAAGCACCTGCCTGGCAAGTGCAAGGTCCTGAGTTCAATCCCGGTACAAACAAAGGGTGTCTCTGTGGGTGGGCTGAAAGCTTTAAGAGGAAATCTATGTGTCCCCCCCCCCCCGCCCCCATTCAGTGAGCAGGCAGCGAATTAGAGCTCACTCGTGGGCTCCGCTTGCTCCTTGGATGCGGGTGCGCAGCTGTGGTTCCTCTCTCTTCTCACTGTTCCCAAAGCCTCACGACTCAGTTCCGCCCCACTGTGTTCCGCCCGAACCACCGTGCCTGTCTCCTAAGGAGTTGGCTGGTCCTCCTGGGGCCCACTCGCCACACCACACTGGATCAGGACACGAATGCATGCTTGTCTCCCAATTACCAGGAGGCTGAGGCGGTAGGGTTCCAACTTGGAGGTCGACCTGGGCAATTCAGCAAAACCCATCTCAAAATAAAAAGAACACAGGATGCGGGCAGCACCCTCCAGGTTTGGTTCCAGGCGCTGAAAAGAACCACGGGTTAAAGTGCTGTAAGCATCATCCCTTGTAAACGCTGTACAATTTCCCTCCTTAGTTAGTACAAGTTGAACTTCTGGCCGGCATACAGAGGTCTGTCACCATGGATGAGGTGACATCGAGTTGACTCAGAGGCTACAGCTGACCCTGGAACCCAAATTCCAAAGGCACTGAAGAAATGCCTCACTTCAGGTGGGGAATTTCAATTAGAAATGAGCTGTGTGGCGTTTTTCTTTCTAATTTTGAGTTTTTAATTTTTCTTACTTTTTAAGCTGATTTTAGATTTTTTTAGATACTATTTAGATATTTTAGATAATGATCACAGTCATCATGGGAAGTTTGTACCTGTACAAGATAGATCTTGCTTTTTTCCTCATTTTCCTTTTTTTTTGTCTTTTTGAGACAGGGTCTTGCTGTGTAGTTCGCTCTGGTCTTAAAGTCATTTCGTAGCTCAGGCTGATCTCGAAGTTACAGCAATCCTCCTGCTTCAGCCTCCTGAGTGCTGGGTTCACAGGTGTGTGCCACCTTGCCTGGCTCCCATTCCATTCTTAAGAACTGGCTGGAAGGAAATCAAGCTCTGAGACTTTCCCAGTAAGTCAGCAGGTCCATTTTCATGCTTTCTGAGCAGGTAGATACCTAGGAAATGCAACAGAAATAACAGAGTCAACCGCCTCTGCTTCAAAAATATTCTGAGGAAGATTTTGTTCCTGGATGTATTTTGTTAATTGCTAAAGACAAGTGAAACGGAAGGATCCTCTCTGGGAAAGCATCACACTCCCCAGAGGATGGCGTGGCTTGCTGTGGCCCAAACTGTCCACCAGGTTCTGACTGGACTCTCCGTCCTAGAGCGTCTGTGGGCCTCAGGATGATCCCAGAGACCAGGAGTCCCCAGAGTCTGTCCACCTTCAACCTGCCCCAGATTTCTGTGTGTCAGACAGTCAGTTTACTGCAGCAACCAGCAACTTTTTAAAAAAGAAAAAAATATCACATCACATCACTTATGGAAAGGTCACATTCTGCTCAGTGAAACTGTTGGTGAGCAGGTGTGCCTGCCCCAAAATAAATGAGTCGTGGGGACAGCAGTAAAGCAGTTGTGAACATCACTGTGGGAGATGACCCAAACCTGTCCCTGTGAAAGGGCAGGATCACTGTTTTACCAGTGTGCTGGCCTCTGCCTTGACACACAGAGGTAAATGAAGATGCCACGGCCCTCAGGTCTGCTGTCCCCACCTGTCATCCATGGCCATTGCCCCTCCTCCCTCATCATATGGATGTGACCTACAGACCACAGGCACGATGTTTTATTTTCCTCCTAGCAGATGCTGAGTTTCCTTGGGCAAGAAAAGACTCATGGCTTTAAAGCAAATGTGAGACCAGAAATGAGCCGCGCGTCAGAGGGGTTTTGACTGTAACATGTTTGGGTAATAGGAGAGGTCCAGTCGTCATGACTGTGTGACTGGGGAAGGAAGCAGAAAAGCTAAAATGCCTTCAGTGATACTTGCTCGGACGCTCTGACAGTGACCTGCACAGATGAAGCTTTTGCTGTTTGGTGGGCCCCTGGTCTGTGAGTGGGCCCCTGACGGTTGTTACCTAAATGTCCCGAAGCTTCGTGGGCTTGGAAGTGGTCACAACACAGGCACATGCAAAAAATATTGTGTGACGTTACCTTTGCACCCCCTGGTTCAGCATTTGATGTGGGGACACTCGGCCTAGAGTGTCCTAACCCTGTCCCCAAGCAGGAAAGCCATCTCGTGTTTTTCTGAATTATAAATTTCATTGGCTTTAGTTGGTCAAATCATAATCTTTCTAGAGTTTAACATGGAATGGGGACAACCTGACCACACAGAGGACGTCCAGTGCTCCTGATAAGGAAAACAGTCAAAATCAGCGAGAGGGGAGAAAGGACTCCATCGGTCACAAGACGACTGACCATTTCAACCGAGTATTTTAGGAAATATTTCTGTTGAATGGTCACAGACAGCACTGAGCAGCATCTTCCAGACGGAGATGCGGGGTCCTTTACCAGGACAAGTCTGTGGGTCTCACTGAGGGCCACACATTCCCAAGTGTGGTGCTCAGCTCCGCTTATCAGAGATAAGACTGGAAGCCTTCCTGGCCAGCAGGTCCTGCATGCCGGGGCCGCATGCACAGACATTAATCTCTTCAATTCTTACAACAGTGTTCTGATGACTATTTTATGTAAGATAGAGAAAAGTTAAGGTGATTTTCACCGACATCAGGCAACAAAAATACAGAGGAGGTGGAGTTCTGCTGTGGAGGGTCGGCTCTGACAGCTGCTCGCTTCAGGATTCATCTTTCATTTATTTATTTATTCATTTTTGCCTTTGTGAGACAGAGTCTCGCTATGCAGTTCCAGCTGGACTTGAGCTCACTTTGTAGTCCAGCCTGGTCTCAAACTTGCAATGATCCTCCTTCCTCAGCCTCCCAAGTGCTGGGATTACAGGTATGCACCATCACGCCCAGCAGTAAAAATATTTGAATCCATTTCTTACTCTCACAAATGTTTTCAGACTGCAGCACACACCTCCACCATCTGTAACTCTTGACTTTGCAAAGCCACTTTTTTTTTTGTTTTTTTTTTTTTGTGGTACTGGAGATTGAACTCATGACCTTGCGCTTGCCAGGCAGGTGCTTATGCAACTGAGCTAAATCGCCAGCCCTGCAAAACCACTTTTTGAGTCATGCAAACTTCATTCCTCCTGAATTGTTTCAGATACCGACGCATGGCACAGATAGCTGGAGAGCATTAAGAGAGTTCAGTTTTCTTTTTCTGTGTGTTTTTTTACAATCATCACCTTTATCTGCTTTTAAAACATCTTTAAAATGTTCATGGTAATATCCAGGAAATCATCATTAAATCTGTATAAAGCTTCTGCAACTCTTTTATATCTGCTGTTTACATGCATTCTAAGCAAACATTTCCTGGGCCATTATTTTTATTTTATATTCTGTATTGAAACATATTTTTAGTTTTTAGAGAATTAAACCGAATTGCAAAAGAATCTCCTAGGAGATTAAAGAAACTCCTTTTGTGAGAATTTGGATGTAAAGAAAACCTTGCCGTATGTGTAATTTCCCCAGCACTTGAAGGTCAGGAAATAATTATGGGTCTGTGTGTATTTATCCTCGCACGAGCGCCTGCTTGAGCGACCGGCTCATTTCACCATTTTAAGGAGGACACCGGGCCTGTCAAGGGCAGATCTAGAATTACTGTGGGGACGATGGGAAGCTTGTCTCCTAAGACAGTTGTAGTTTTCAAAAGAAAACTTCTGTCTGAGACCTAAAACAATCCAAGTTCCCGTAGAAATACTGAGGGGCTTTTAACTATCAACTGCCTGTACCCAAACAAGCACCACAGTTTCATGACGGCTATAAAGTGGCCGCCACATAAAATTCTCACACACACACACACACACACACACACACTCTCTCTCTCTCTCTCTCTCTTTCACATGGTCACTTTTCCTTTTCTACTGATTTTCAGCCATCACAACCACTCATCCGAAAAGCAAACACTCCTCTAAGAGATTCCAAAAACAATCTAGGTTTTTTACTCCCAGAACATTTGCTGAAAAACATGGGAACTGTTGACAGAGCTGGGCGATTTCAGTATCATCTACTGGACAGCATTTACCAATGATAAACCACAGTACTTCTGTATATTTTCTTTTCAATAATGATAGTAACAGTGATGTCGATATTAATCCGGGGGCTCGCACTATGGGCTCACACTGTTCTAACGCAGCCTGGGTGCTCAGAGTGCTTACGTAGCTCATCCAAAGCCCCAGGAGCAGCTCCAGGATCTGCGCATGTTTAAAGCAGCTGCAAATGAACTGTAAGGCCGTGGCGGTGATCACACCATTGAGCTGGGAACACTGATAGCAGAGTGGCGCCACTAATATTCCACGGCCACTAAAACTTGAGTTCTCTGTCTCTTGCTTCTAGAGCCACTCCGCACAGCAGCTGTGACACAGCAGCCCCTCAGGGAGGCAGAGGTGCTGGCGACATCAGTAGCTGCTTCTGCAACCTGGTACACAGCCTGGCCACCCGCCAGAGGAACCGTGCTTAGCTACCGCAGCCAAAAGAGAAACCGCCCAGTAGAGTACAGAGTTCAGGAAATGCGTGCTCAGAGTCAAAGAGAGGTTCTCTCACTCTTTTCTTTATGATGTATGTACATTTAATTGGCCAAACAGTATTAGCACAAACCTTTCTTTTCGATTTTTTTTTTTTTTTTGGTCTTTTTCGTTTTTATCGGTACCAGGGATCGAACTCAGGACTGCCTGCTTGCAAGGCAGGCGCTTATGCCGCTGAGCTAAATCCCCAGCCCCAAACCTTTCTTTTCAATGAACTGAGAGAGTAGTAGTATAACTCTTAACTATAATTTATAATATATATTTATATTTTTACATTATTCTTTCAGCTTCTCACACTAGGGAGGAAATATGATGCTTACACATGTGGGTCTGATTTATTTCACTTCTGAGTACGATTTCCAGATGCATCCATTTACCTATAGACATCTCAAGTTTATCCTTCTTTATGGCTATTACTCTATTGTATAAAAATACCACATCTTTTTTATCCATTCCTCAGTTGATGGGCATTTAGGTTGTTTCCAAGATCTGGCTGTTACAATTTGTGCTGCTATAAACATGGGTGCACATACATCACTGTGATATCATGGTTTTAATTCTTCCAGGAAGACACCAGAAGGGTGAGAGCTGGGTCAAATGAGGCCACCAATCCTAGTATTTTGAGGAATCTCCACACTGATTTCTACAGTGGTTGCACCAGTCTGCATTCCCATCAACAGTGGAGAAGGCTTCCTTTTTCCCCTCAGCCCCTCTAGCATTTGTTATTGGTTGGTTTCTTGATACTAGCCATTCTTTTTGGGACGATGTGGGATCTCAGTGTTGTTTTAATTCGATTCTCTTGAATGGCCAGCGGTGTTGAACAGTTTTTTCATACATTTATTTACCATTATCTTCATTGGAGAGGTGCATATTTATCACGTTAATTCTGTGTTAAAGCTCATTTTCAAAACAGTGTCATTTTCATACCATTAAGGATGGCAAAACCTGAGAACTCTTCAAGCTGAGACTACAATAACCTCAAAACTAGTCAAAGGCCAAGAGTAAATAGCAGTCATACGTTCCAAACATCACAAAGCCTCAACAGTACACTCCAGAGAACCCCCTGGGACCCCGCAGCTCTCCCACACCCCACAGGACCCCTGGTGTCCCTGGTTTCGAGTGGTCTGAGAGCAGAGTGGGGGTGGAGGAGAGCTGAGTTTCTCTGGGACGCAAGGCTCTGGCAGAGGTTTTGGCTTGTTGCAGTTTTTAGTTTATCCTGACCTGCACTGCACCACACCTGCAGACAAGTTGTTTTTTTCTTCAGACTGAAAGGGTCAAACCTTTCCCACAGGATGCAGCCCAATGGTGAGGTTGCTGAGATGTGCAAGGTGTTTTTAGGATATTTTTCGTGATGTGTCTTGAAGCCTATAGAGAAAGAAATCCAGCTTGTTGGGAGCCTTTAAAGCTGGAAACTGACCACATGGGCAAGGCTGGGGTGTGGCCATGCCAAGAACAAAGAGCAGCTGGGAGACACACAGGAAGAAGCTGCCTCAGCCCGGAGAACACCTGGCCCCAAGACAAGCTGAACAGTGGGTTGCCAGGACAACCGGGGTCATGCGACTTTGCTCAGCTGGATAAGGAGGAAGAGATGGGAATAACTCGTACAAGCAAGCAGACAACTTCGCTTCAAATTTTGGTTTAGAATACCTGATACTTTTAACTGAGTCACAAACAGCTGTCTCTACCTTTTCAGCTCGGACAAATTTTGCTGCATCACAGGTGGGAACTCCCGCCCCTCAGGGAGCAGAGCTGTTTCTTCTCTCTCCCTTGCAGGTGGCACTGAAGGAAGCCAGGTGGGCAGGGAGTACATGGAGGGTTTTCAGCCTATCTACCGGGTAACAGAACTTCAAGTCCCCAATAATCTGGGACAAGTTATACGTCATCGAGAAGTGGTACCATTAAAGTACCACTTTAATGACCATTTAAGTCATTAAAAGAATTAAAAAATGATACCGCCACCTATGGCCATATAGCCCCACTTACCTGGCATTCATAGAGCTCCTAGGACAGCGGGTTATGGCCCAGAATGATTGGGAAGGTGTAGCTAAAGCATGTTTAAGTCTGGGGGATTAGTTCTTGTGGAAAGGAAATTTTTATGAATTGTGGCCACCCACAATGCCGCTGGAACACAGCTATTACAAAAGATACGGTGATGAGAGAAGATGCTTTGCCCTACAGGCAGTGAGCTCGCCTTTGATATGCAGGTGTAGGGTCCATCAGGTTGGGACAGCAGCTGGGGCAGCTGTCCTGGAGGGGTGAAGCCCCCTGGATTTGAATTCTATTCACCATGGTCCCCAGAAACAATTTCAGCATTTCACTGCACGCTTATTGCAAGTTAGTGAGAGAGCTGTGAGTGATAAAGAAGCAATTAAGTTAACAGTTCCACTGCAGTGTTTCGCTCCCTAGCAGAAGTGCTAGATGGTTGTTAACCCGGAGGGATGCAGAAGGTCATTCTGGACATTTCTCACCTCATGACCTCCCCCATATACCAGGTAATCTATGGGGTCTCGATGTGTTACAGGATATGGGGGCATTCCTGGTGACTGCTTAGTGACTCATCAGATCTTACAACAAGGTCTTCTCCCCACACAAGATTGTGGTGAAAATAATCAGGGGACGAGAGAACCCCTTCCAACAGACCCCCAAAGAGACCATGCTGCCATAGGATCTCACCTTCACATTTTTAGGAGGGGCCTTGATCTCTTCTCCAACCTCATGGACGGTGTCCACGGTATCTTAGATGTCTGATGACCCTGTTTGGGTTAACTGGTGGCCCCTCACTTACAGAAGGGCCAAGTGGACAAATACGGACAGATGAAAGATGATCTATACAGATTGGACAGACATAGAGACAAGCACCTGGCTTGTGGGTGTCCATGAGAGCTCTACGTTCCCAGTGGACTATTTATTACGGCCCTGTGCTGAACTAGCCTGCTTCTTACACCCTGCTTCTCATCCTCTCACGGTTCTTCACCCCAGGAGCCTCAAGAGCTGCACGGGTTGTGGCACTAGGTCTGAGTTTTTAAAGAGTGTCCCCTGCTGGAGGAGGAGAACCTGTAAGTGCGCAGGGTGTCCCTGGTGATACCCCAAGCGCTTACCAAGCAGAGCTGAAGTCCTTGCCAAGCAGAGCTCACCACAGTCCTCTCTGCCTTGGTGCTGTCTATCCCATAGGGCTCTCACTCCCCAGAGAGGAGGGCGGGGCCCAAGGGTTCCCTCAGCCCTGTGAAGAACAGGGAATCAGGGTGAAGTCCTGCAGGGACCTCCCCAACTTTGGGGGTGGGTATATCCCTTCCACTCATTCCTGCCAGCCTCTGGTAGTTTGTTTAGAGCAACAGAGGTAACCTGTATCTCTGAGTGTGTCCCCCCAAGTCCCATATGCTCTCTGACAGTGAAGGCTGTAAGGGTGAAGAAGTGGGCAAGCCCTGCACGCCATGTGTATCTGCAGGACTACAAGAGGAAGACTGAATGTTTAAATTTCCTCTCTCATAACCTCAGACTGCAAGAAACTAGCACATACCTGCAGACTGGTCAAGCGAGCACCATGGACCCCAAATCTGCACCAGGGACACTAACACCCCCTCCCTGGCACTGATGGTGCCCATCACCACCATCCAGAGTCACCCAAGGATCCCGGCACAGAGGCCGCCATAGCGTGACCCGAGGTGCAGCCAGGCAGGCCCGGCCGAGGAAGTGACTCCCGGGAGGTGGACAGGCCGGAGGCAAAACCACACAGGGCACAGCACAGCAGCCGCAGGTAAAGGCCGCTCGTACCTTTGTCACCGCACGGCGGGCCCCGTAGGGGCTCCCGGAGTCTGTGGGCGGGCTGACGCCGGCTCAGACAGACGCGGGGAGGCACAGGCAGGATTCGGGGCGAGTAAAAGAGCGAGCAGGACGGTGCCGGGTGCGCGTCTTACACAGCGATGGAAAAGCCCCAGGGGGAACCCGGACCCTCTGAGCCTCCCCATGAGGGGGCGCCCGCGACCCGGCTCTGCAGCGCCTTGAGCGGCAGGAAAGGACCGGGACCGGCGGGCTCGCTGCAGCGCAGCGCCCCCTGCTGGCCACGGAGTCAGAGTGGCCGAAAGTCACGCGGCCCCTTCCTGCAGAACCGAACCAAACCGAACAAGGTGGGCGGGGAGAGGGCAATGCCCAGGCGGATGCGTCCTAGCTGCGGAGAGAACGCGCCCCTCTCGGCGCCGGGGCGGAAGACTGGGTCCCCGGAACCGTCCCCGGGGAGCTGTTTGCGCGTGCGCCCCACCCGGCTCTGGGGCGCGCTGGGGGCGGGAGTGGGGGCAGGGCCTGGCCCTTCCCGCGTACCCACAGCGAGACCAGCTGCGGGAGAGGACCTCTGGAGTGAAGCAACCAGGCATGCAGCTGCTGTGCTCTCTCCTGGGGAGCCCCGAGGGCGCAGGCTGAGCTCCGCCCCCCCCCCCGTCCGCACCACGCACCCCTGTAACCCGGGAGCGTACCACAGCCCCTAGGGGGCTTCACTCCCCCCTCCCCCCACCGCAGCCAAAGGGAGGAAAAGTAAATTCTGCTCGCCTTCTTTTGGTAAACCGGTTGGATTTACAGGGTGCACGGTGGAGGTCTGAGTGGAAGCTGAAGCGGGCAGAGGAAAAGGCCATTCGAGGTCAAGGGGTGGCACAGGAGAGTGGACGGGGTGCACTGCCCGGTGCATTAAAGCCTCTCGGGAAGCCAACGGGAGGAAGGAGTGGAGAGAGGCACAGGACTCCTGAGTGTGACCTCTGCTTGTGAGTGGACACGAGAATCCTGGGCCGAGTCCCCGGGGAGGGGGAAGGGAGGAGAAGGAGGGTGAGGCTGAGGGTGAGGGTTGTCTGAAGCGCTGGTATCCTGAAGGAGGAAGCCGGTGACTCATCTAAAGCAGGATGAAAAGAAAGCAAAATGGACTCGCTTCCTGCGCCAGTGGGAAAGTATTTCCGGCACATACCTGCAGACTGGAAAGAATTGGAAAGTGGGTACCGTGCGCAGACCCCCAGGGAGCCCACACCCGGTCAGAACATGTAGAGATAAAGTTGAGATTAAACTTTTCCGAGAGCTGTAGGAGAAGCTCAGGGGAGGGAGGAGCTGGGGACCGGAAATCACCGATCACGGATCGGGATCATTTCGGGGCGAGGACAGACTCTTCAGGTGAGTTTAATGCATAGACACAGCCGGCACCGGGGCTGACGATGCAGTTGAGGCTTTGGTCACTGTGTGGCAAGGTGGAAGCCTTGATGCCTGAGCCCTGGTGTCACCCTGGGGTGCGTGGTTATTTTAGCTCAGAGATTTCCATTTCTGCAGCTGCTCCTGGCTCTTGGCTTGCGGGAAAGGGAGAGAATCTACAGGCCCACAGATGACTGCACTTCCTAAACTGTTACACACATGTAACCCCATTTAAGTCAAAATGCCATAAACATTCCTTGTGGAACTAGGTAAAGCCGTCCTTACAGTTATATGAAACCGGAAGAAACCTAGAATAGTAAAGAAATTCTAGGCATCAAGGGCAAGCAGGACTACAGGTAATACCACAAGGCTACAGGAATAAAACCAAACCAAAACAAAACAAAACAGGGTAGTATTGACAAGAAACACCCAGATCAAAAACCTCACAGACTTGTGGAGCAATGGGACAGATCAGAGGACAGAGAATCAACTCTGGGCACATTCAGCCTCCTTGCCTTTGACAAAGGGGCCCAATGCTCTCACTGGTGGAAAGGCAGCCTCCTTAACAAATGAGGCTTGGAAAACTGGCTCTGCACTTCACCCAGGTCCACACCTCTCACAGTGCACTAACGTAAAATGGATCAGAGAGCTAAATATTAAAGCAAACTCTTCATCTGCTAGAAGACAAAATAGATAAAACTCTTAAAAATATAGGTGTAGATGGAGACTTTCTAGATAGAGCCTCAGTTACATAAGAAATAACACCAAGCATCCTCAAATGGTATCACATCAAACTGGAGAACTTCTACACTGCAAAGACACCCAGGAAAAGAGTGAAGAGATTGCCCACAGAATGACAAAAAGATTTCTCCAACTGCTTCTCAAAGGAATAGTATCTAGCACATATAAAGATCTCAAGTAATTAGATCCTTCCTCCATCAAAAATAGGCATTTGAAGTGAAGAGTTGTGCCTCAGCTGACGGCGTGCACATGGCCAATAAATATATGGAAAAAAAGTTCAACACTGCAGGTCATTCAAAAAATGCAAATTAAAACAACATTGAGATTCCATCTCCCTCCAGAATGGTTGTCGTCAAGAAATCGACCGCTAACAAGTGCGGGAGAGACTCTAGGGAAAAAGGAGGGCTTTGTTACTGTTGGTAGAAGTAAACTTACAGTCATCATGGAAATTAGTAAAAACTAAAAATAGAGATTTCATTCTGCTTGGCTACTGCCCCCTCGATGTGTTCCTGCAAGATACCTAGGCATGGGACCACAGTGATGCCTGCCTGCCCACATTTGTAGCAGCACAATTCATAATGACCAAATCAGGGGAGAGTCCTAAATACTGACCCACAGGTGATTGGACTGGAAAATGTTTCCTTTAGACTATTCTGCCACAATGAAAGATAAACCAGGGTTATTTCTAGGGAAATGGTGTGCCTGGAGACCATCGTTTTTTTTTTTAATTTATTTTTTTATTTTAAAGCGAGTAGAACCAAACAAAACAACAAAGCAGATCAGAACAAAAAATGCAAGCAAAATGGAATTTCAAAAACAAGACAACAGGACATCAACAGTGGCTACCATAGTCTCTTGTTTTCTTCAAAATAATTGTCCATATCTTTCCACACAATGAATTCAAACAAGACCAAATAGTATAAAACTGATCAAAACAGAAGAATGAAAGCATTGCAGGCCTTCAAAACCAGACAATAGGAAATCAACAGTGGCTGCCATAATGTGTCTTGTTCTCTTTAAAATACCTGTCCATACCTTCACACATACTGAAATCAAATAATAGAAAACAGACTAAAATCAATCAAAACAAAGAATAAAAGCATTACTGGACTTCAAGATGATAGGAAATCAGCAATAGCTACCAAAAGTTCTCATTTTCTTCAAAGTAGCTGTTCATACCATTGCACATAATAAAATCAATTCTTATAAACTCTTTAGGAGAAGATCTAGGCATGTATAAGCCCATACATGTACTTCTGTCCTTTCTGTATTAGCGGGAAAACTGAAAGAAAACAAAGCAAATTACTAGAAAAGCAAGAAACAAAAGACAAATAATAACACAGAGCCCCAAACAATGACAATATAGACTTTCAAAACAAGGTGATAGGAACATAATTAAGGTTGTTATTTTGCATAATTATCTTCAGAAGAGTTACTCAGATTACCAAATATAGACATGCAAAATTTATCCAGTCCTATGAGTGTTAACTATTTTGTTCCAAGAATTACAATCATCTTAGCTATCTTAAGTGTATATATACAAATTTACATCTTTTTTCTTTTCTCCTTTTCCCTGAGTTACTTTTTCCCCTTTAAGCAGTTTCTTATCTTTTCACAATATTTATTGAAGATTTTGTATCTTATTTACTCTTTCAGTTTCCTACACTAGGGAGACAGTATGGTATTTACATATGTGAGTCTGATGTATTTTACTTATGAGTATGGTGAGACCGTAATGTTAAGTGAAGTAAATCAGATGCACAAATATCTCATGGTTTCTCTCATATGAGAAACCCAGAGTATAAATAAATTACAGATGACAAGCCATAGGGAAAAACCAGAAAATAGTTATGGTAATGTAGCATGGACAGTATATCTAAACGTGAACCTTAGCCAGGTGTGGTGCATACCTGTAATGCCAGCACTCCGGAGCCTGAGGTAGGAGGATCGCTGTGAATTCAGAGCCATCCTGGACTACATAGTGAGTTCAAGGCCAGTCTGAGTAGCGAGACCCTAACTCAGAGAACCAACAAAACAAAACAGGAACAAACAAAAAGAGGTACTTTGATTTAGTGTAACTGTCCTGTGTGTTTTGCATGGTTCTTCATTTGCTAATCTGACTGACAAACTGTATTTATGATACTTAATATATACAGATTTATAAAATAAATGAATCTAATGCAATCTAACAAAATTTAAAGGGAGTAAAAGATTTGAGATGTGTTATGTGTGTATGCCTATTTCCCATGATTCATGTAATCATTATATGCTACAAACATGTACAAAGAAATATAAAATTTTAAAGAAATAAAATTGAAGGCCATGCTAGCCAGGTGTGGTGGCGCATGGCAGGCTGAGGCAGGAGGATGGCTGTGAGTTCAAGGTCAGCCTGGCTACAAAGTGAGTTCAAGTCCAGCCTGGACTGAATCGTGGAATCCTGTTTCAAAAAAGATCAAAAATAAAAAAGAAGGCAGTGCTGAGACATGTCACTGTAATGAGGAACTTCACGCACATTATCTAAATGAAAAAGCCAGTTACAAAAGCTCATACAACAGATTGCATAATTCCATTTATGTTTAATGACTAGGGTATGAAAAGTCAGTACACCCAGTAGCTTTCTGTGTGTGCTCGGTTGTGGGTAGAGTTCACAGTACTATTAAGTGCAGTTTCCTTGTGGTCTGATAAAAATGTTCTAAAATAAAGTGGGGTGATGTTTGTATTACTCTGCAAATATATTTGTGTAAATTCCGGCTTCGTAGGCAGTGAACCCCATCACTCCTGGTGTAATTAAACGGGATGCGTGTTAGCGATTTGGAGCCAAGGCCCCATCACACACTGATTCCTAGGGCCGCTGTGAGGATCCAGGTTCTTGGAGTTTTAAAGAAAAGGGTTACACTTGCAAACTGGCCACCGCAGATTTACTAAAGATATGAGGCAGATGATTTGGTGTCAAGAAACCTTTACAGTTGTAATTCCCTGAAAGTATAGTTATGTAACTATGATGAGGGCTGGGGATTTAGCTCAGTGACATAAGCGCTTGCCTTGCAAGCCTGTGATCGTGAGTTCGATCCCTGGTACCGGTAAAAATACAAAAAAAAAAAAAAAAAAAAAAGAAAAACCAAAAAACTATGTTCCATGAAGATACAGTTTCAGGCACAAGAGGGGGCTGTCCGCTCAGTAACAGCTGCTGTAAACTCGGAATATAAAACCTCGGAGAGAAACAGTAATATCAGGATTAGGATTTAATCTTACAAGTCCTTTGGAAGCACCGGTAACAAGACCATGGAGGAGGAGACCATTGTATAAAATGTTTTTGATGTGATTATAGCATTTATTCAAATCATTATAGGAAAAAATAAAAGAAAAATTATTTTGTGATTTAATTTAACCACAAAATTTAGAAAAGGGATGTAGAGAATGCATGCAAAATATGAGATTATTAAAATCTGTAACAGTGATTGCTAGATAATATGAACAGTATTCTG